CACCGGCGAACTTAGTACGTTCAATTAGGACAACGACACCTCATCATAGAAGAAAACTCCACCACACTCGCAAATACCAAGTCTCGTTACTCCGTCAGCCCACATCTGACCATTCCTAGTCTGATTGTCTTTCCCCTGCCGGGAATAAAATACCGAATCTCTAGATCATGCACTGAGTAAACCTCCCTTCAAGTCATTCACTACCTCGACACGTAGGCAAACATCCTACCATCATATCAATACTGCGGAACAATCGTTCATAGCATCATGGAAACTTGTGCCTAGCCTCAGAGCTCTCAAAAGTACCGCTACTGAGCTAAAACGACAGAACATCCTTCCCCAAGGCGACGATAATAGCTTAGACAACTATGCAGGGAGAAACATCCCGCACCAAATCGGTAGTACTACTACAATTCTTCAATCCTCGATTTATAACAAGCGGTTCGCGTCGCATAAGATTGAATAGGAAGGAATTAAAGGCATGGCCTCCAGGGATCAAATCGCACGATGAGGAATCAATAAGGGAAGTACAGACGTCTCCGTACCGATCCGCGAGACTCTACTATACTTGCTCATGACTCGTGAGACCTACGGGAGCCTAGTGCTATGATACCATGTTGTCACGACCCAAAATCCACTAAGGGTCGTGATGGCGCCGGACATCATTGTCAGGCAAGCCTAAACTCGATTCTTAAAGATAGCTCATTGCCTCGAGTCCTTTCGCACCTGCGGTCCCTTGACCGCTTCTGCGGTCCCGCAGGTGCGGACCAAATGCCGCTTCTGCGGTCCGGGGCTCCCAGCCTATTCCGCTTCTTCGCCCTCTCCTCCGCAGATGCGGTCCCGCATCTGCGATAAAACGATCGCATCTGCGGTCCCTGCCTGGCGGTCCATTTTTCCCTTCTGCGACACGACGACTGCTTCTGCGGCTCCGCACCTGCGGCCCTGGTCTCGCAGGTGCGATTATACAGCAACTTCAGCCTTTTCCAAATTCCATTTCGATCCGCTAACCACCCGAGGCCCCCCGGTACCCCAACCAATCATACCAACCAGTCCCAAAATACATTACGGACTTGCTCGAGGCCTCAAATTGTATCAAACAACGATAAAACTACGAATCGACCCCCAATCCAAGCTTTATGAACTTTAGAATTTCAAATTTCTACTTTCGATGTTTAAACCTATCAGATCACGTCCGATTGACTTCAAATTTTGCACACAAGTCATATTCGACATTACAGACCAACTCCAGCTTCCGGAATCGGATTCGACCCCGATATCACAAAGTCCACCTCTGGTCAAACTTCTCAAAAACCTTCAAATTTCTATCTTTAGCCAATGATCCCAAAATGATCCATGACATCGGAATGTACTTCTGATCGCGCTCCCAACTCCAGAATCACCATACGGAGCTACTCCCAGGCTCGGAATCCCAAACAGACATCGATAACACTGAAATGCACTTCAACCCAAACTTATGAAATTTCTTCCAAAATGCTAACTTCCACAATAGGCGCCAAAACGCTCCCGGGTCATCCAAAACCCGAACCAGGCATACGCCCAAGTCTGAAATTATCATACGAACCTACTGGAACCTTCAGATCCCGATTCCGAGGTCGTTTACTCTGAAGTCCATTCTTAGTCAATTCTCTCAACTTAAAGCTTCCGAAATGAGAATTTCCTCTCCAAGTCAACTTCGAACTTCCTGGAATTTAATTCCGACCGTGCGCACAAGTCATAATACCTGAAATGAAGCTGCTCATGGCCTCAAACTGCTGAACGGCGCGCTAGAGCTCAAAACGACCGGTCGGGTCGTTACAATAGTAAATATTAAACTAAGATAAAAATTTAAAAACTTGAATAGACAAAGAGTAAAAATCTAATATAGTATGCTAGTTAACTTCTAAGTCCCCGACAAAGGCGCTAAAAACTTGTTGCTCCCTAGCGCACACGTAAGTATACGTGGTCGACAAGTAATATAGGGTTGTAAGTCCAGATGTCGTACCCACATGGACTTGTGATTAACTATCAACTAAATTAAACCAAATAATTTATCTATTCAAACGATTTCTAAAGTATGAATATTTAACTAAAATTAATCTAGATAACAAATTAATAGATTAAAGAAAACAAGTTGGCGAATTATAGATACGAATTCAATATGGGTGAATATTCTAGAGCTATGGTTTAGCTAACAGTCCCGTTGAGTTGTCCACTTAAATCGTCTAATTAATTTATCTGGTTTATTGGTTGACAGGGTTAATATTGCTCGTAGTCTTCTCCCGAAGTACAACTCGCCTATTCAAGCTAACTAATGCCTATATTCCTATGGAATTAGAATTAACAAGAACGCATTTATAATTCCTGTACAACAACCAAGCAAGGCGATTAGGTATATTCCTATCCTAACCGCAAATTCGCCCCCCCCCCCCCCCTCCCAGAGTTAAGATCTTGCTCTACTCAATCTTATATGCAATCTAGAATTCCCTCTCCCGAGTTCAATCCTAGATTCGTAGATAGTATTCAATTGATGATCAAGAAATCAAATAATTAAGCGCAAGATTAAATAAATAAGCCAATATGATAAAATAATAAGAACAATTCAAGCTTCAAACTACAACGTTCATGTAGCATCCAAAACTCTAGCACTAATAAACTATAAAATTAGAGGAAGAGAAGAGAAGAAAAATTAGTTAGAAGCCTCCTCCAAGCATGGTATGTGTTCTCCCACATGAATCCAAGCGGTAGACACAACGATTGCCCAAGCTGAGGATCCTAATTTATATGAGGTTAGGGATGTACCACATTGGGACATGAAAAGTTTCAGCATTTTATATTTTATGGAGGACGTGGTGATATCGACACATGGTGTTAATTACTGATATGACGATGTTTACTTTCCTATGTTTTAAATAAATATTTTTTCTTTTGGTCATAAATTTCCCACGTTGCCCGACTTAAAAAATTCTTCTCACAAAACTCTCTCATTCTCACTAGAAAAAAATATGACATCTAGCCTATAAAACCTAATTTGAACGAAGAAATCATTTGACCAATCGTATAATATTAAAGAAAATACACCGATTTAATCATGCTAGAAACCTTCCCTAGATCTTGTTAATAATGCTTTAGGAAATTACACTAATTTAAAATATCTTATAGTAGGGCTGTGTACATAGGTTGTTTGGTTCGATTTTTTATTTATCAAACCAAATCAACTATTTCAGTTTTTTAAATCTATAAACCAAATTAAACCAACAAAAATTGCTTTTTATTTCGATTTTTTAAAAAAAATTATCGATAAGATCTCCGCAAGACACAACGTGTAACTAGTGCTTCCAAATATTTCGTATGTCCTAATAAGATATAACAATTATATGGTGCTTTCCAGATAGTAATACAAATGTGAAATGAATTATGACATTATGCAAAAATATAGTGTCCCAACAATAAATATAATGAAAACCAAGACGACAAGTACTGTTAATAAGAGATCATGAAATAATGAACACAATTTGATTTGGATGGGTTATTAGACATCTATGAGCTATAATTTTATAACAGACTTCTCGTTCTATTTAAAATTACAAGTTCAAACCTGAAATAATATATTGGGAAATGAAAACTAAAATAAAATTCAAGAAATATTTACATATTACAAAATAATAAATATTCTTAAGTGTAAACTATTTTAAAGAATTGTATGCATATAAAGTCGGTTCGATTTAGCTTCTGTTTGACTTTTTATATAAAACCAAACCAAACTAATTATGGCCGGACTTTTTATATAAAACCAAACCACTAATTAGCTTTTTTCGGGTTGACTCAATCTATCGGTTCGGAGCAATTTGTCGGTTTTCTTTAAACATTTCTATCACGTATAATAGATTAACAGGAAACTTGTAGATTATTTTAATTCGGGGTGTACATAGGTCGGGTTGGTTCTGATTTTCTAGTTACCAAACCAAATCAATTGTGTCAAGTTATTAAATCTAAAGACCAAACCAAACCAATAAAAATTAGATTTTTTAATCTCGATTTTTCTCGTGTTTTTTGGATTTTCGGGTTTTTTCAGTTTTTTTTATAAAGTCTTCATAGCACAAAATATAGAATTTGTTCTTCAAAAATTTCTTTGATCCTAGTAAGACACAACTATAAAAAGTGTTTTTCAAGAAATTAACATAAAATATGAGATGAGCTATGGTATTGTACTAAAATAATCAACAATGAAGATAATAAAATCGCATAAAACAAATATTATTAATTAGCCATAATAAGAATAAACATAATGTAAAATTACTAAGTTGCTAAAATAAGTACGACTGACAAGTACTATTTTTACATGACTAAACACTATAAAAGAAAAAGTTATGCAAATTATCTAAACCATGAAAAAACTACAAAAAAATAGATATCCAACACTATTGTTATTCCTAATACAATTGAATTGAATGTCTTTTATTAGTGATAATATTAACTATAAAACTTATTGTGGCATTCAAGAATTATAAGTCCCAACTTAAAATAATTCGTTGAAAAGATAAAATTATGAAAATATTTAAGAAATATTTATAAACTACACTGTAATAAATATTTTATATGTAATGTTGGGTTGATTTGATTTCGATTTGACTTTTTTAGTTAAAACCAAAACAAAGCAATTATGGTCGGGTTTTTTCCCAACATCAAACCAATAGTCGGATTTTTTCTCGGTTTGATTCGGATTATTGATTTGGTATAATTTGTCGATTTCCTTTGTACACTCCTAATTTTAATGTTACAAGTAATCTATGGTCAGATTATCTTCTTGGAATATACATAGAAGAGAATAATTGATATTCTTTACCAGACAGTCTACCCTGGATTCTACTACTCATGATTTGGAAAATATATAACTAATAATAGCCATTTTAAATATCTGCCATTTAAATCTCTTGTATCCCTATATATAACTTTTTCCTATAATAGCCATTTTCAATCTCTTCTATCCCTATATATTACTTCTTCCTCATAAAAGAAAAAATTGTAGGTGCTCAAGAACTTCAACCTCATGCATCTAGTAAATCAAGTAAGTCCACTGTTTAGTACTTCAATATTTTGTTAATTAATTTTTTCTTTAAATATTATTTTATTGTGTGTATAAATATTTCGCATTCAGGCCGTTAAAATAATTTTAATTGATTCAGACCATGTTGATGCGGCGAAAGGTTGTTCTACAAATTTTGATGGTGCTATATGTTCTTCTGAGTTATGACGGAGTTCAAGGAGAAATAAAATTATCCAAAGTAGAGGATTTAGAGTTGAAGAAGCAACTTAAACTTCTGAATAAGCCAGCGACCAAAATAATTAAGGTATATATCCAGAGCAAAAAATTATTGTGTTCATAAATTTCTCAAGTGATTATTGTGTTAATAGCACTTTTATAGAAGAAAAAAAAAAGAAAATATAATTCCATTCCATATTTGTACTTGAAGATTTCGATATAGCCATACTAACGGTTTAAAAATTAATATTATTCTATATTCGATTTTTTATAAAGTGATATTGCAATTGAAAATTATGATTTTTGTATTTCCTAGTACTTTTTTCTAACTTCATTTTATATATGGTAAAATTCTTACGTATTCAAAAGTCACATCATTGTGATAACAAGACATTCAATTAGTGTCACCAACACTATTTATAATACGATTGCAACATTTCGTGTCACAGACGAAATATGGGGATACATACGATTGTGTTGATTTCTACAAACAACCTGCGTTCGATCATCCGTTATTACAAAATCACGATTTTCATCCCAAGGTATAATGTCTCTGGTCTTTTAATTTTACTTTCCACTTTTAATAATGATTTGAGAATGTTAGCATGCATAATTTTTGTTTCTGATGGACAGATGAAACCTACTTTAGCTAGGACGTGGCAAAATTCAAATACCTCAGCAACTATATGGTCATCTAGCATATGGTTGAAGGAAAGAGGTTGTCCTTTCGGAACCGTTCCTATTAAGAGAGTTACTAAAGATGACCTTATTAGACACAAACGTATTCCGTCACCAGAAGCTATCTCATTTGAAGTTCAATTTATTAGTGTAAGATAATGTTACCCAAATCATTGATATCTTGAACAATTTTTTCTCTTTTTTCTTTTTCATTCGATGTGTTGTATTTTTTTGGACAAATATATTTTATTGTTTTTACACAGATTAACAACAATAGTGAGTCAAAAAGAAGTTACATATCATCGCAGGGATACAAGGTATATGAATATGAATATTTATCATCTTTTCATTTTGCAATTTTGTATTTTCCTTTATGGCAATCTAATGACCAAGCAAAGTAATCTTTATAATTTTAGAGTGTTGAATACAAAATATTCTTCGGATGATTTTTTAGATGAATATAAATATATGCTAATTTTGGTATACCATGTCATTGGTTAACAAAAAATATTCATTTACTATATTTAGCTTGCATCAGCCCAAGTTCAAAATAATCCAAATACTAGGTTTTCGGGAGCCGGAATGACAGCTAGTTTATGGAATCCTCATGTTGAAGGTCAACAAAATAGTGCATGCCGACTAAAAATTCAAAAAGGGTCAGATATTTTACAAGTTGGTTGGAGAGTAAGTTTAATAGCTCGTTCTACTTTGGTACTTAAATTATTTTTTTAATTTATTTCGTGACAGCTTTTTTGCTTTTTAATTATTTTTATGAGGTAAGGTAGGGGAGAGAGAAAGGAAGAGGAAATTTAAGATTAACCCAATTTCATGTTGTAGGTGGATCCAACATTATACAAGGACAATAAGACTAGGCTTTTTGTACATTTTCAGGTATGTAATTCAATGATTTTGTATATATTGTAAAGTTAGCTATTTACCTCAATTGGAAAAATTACAACAAATTTCATGTTTATTAGGCTGGTAATACACATTGCTTCAATGCACTATGTCCTGGATTTGTCCTAGTAAATACCGAGTTACCTGTTGATATGGTCTTTGATGAGATTTCACACCGTGGAGATCAACAAATGGCAGAGATTACAATGTTTATCGATCGGGTACATATTTTTCTCTCTCTCTTTTTTTTTTTTTTAAAAAAATTTCAAGTTCTTGATTTGGTTTTCCAATAATACAATTGTATGAATTAGAACTTAAAAGGTACAAAATAATAATACAGATATTTTCTTGTGTAGGACCTAGCTAATGGAAATTGGTGGCTTTTGATTGGTGAAAACCACGAACAAGTTGGTTTTTGGCCTCATGCGATTTTCACTGACTTGGCAAGCTTTGCTACTAACGTTGAGATGGGAGGAGTTGCATATAGTCCACCAGGTGTGCCTGAACCTCCATTGGGCGCCGGTTGTTCGCTTGCTGTAGATCCTAGGTATGATGCTTATTGTCGGAGACCTAATGTTTTAAACGATAAAGGTGAGACGATACCCATAGTAGAATCAATGAACGTCAAACTTAGTGATTCTAATTTGTATGATGTTTTGGATATACCATATTTTAGAAGTGGAAATGAGCATTTTGTATTGTATGGAGGACATGGTGAGGTCGACACATCATGTTAATTAATACTATGACGAAATTTACTTTCTATTTTCAAGAAAATATGGTGTCTTGTTCTACATTATGAATTTTAACGAATATCTAGATCAAAGTTCAAAACGTAATTTGTATCTCGTCTCGAATTTTTTGGTCCGTCGTAATCAAAGTACTCCAAATTATTTGACCAAATTCGGATCTCATACCTACGCCCATACTAATGTCGTGTCGTACGGGTGCTGCGCTTAAGTTGCCGTGTCGGAGCAACTTAGCTTTGAAGAAGATAAGTAAAATCTAGCAAACATGTCTTTCATTCACTATCAACACTCATCATTTTAGTAAAGAACCAGTTGTTTACAAAGAATCAACAGTAGCATCTCTTCGACTCTACTTTTCTCAGACTCAAAATTTACATGAACTCAACCATGACACCAGAACATTGGGAACAAGATCGACAGATCAAAAAGAAAGGAAAGGAGAAAGTGGTAGACGGACAGTTACAATTTTCCGATGTATATATACTGTTAGCCTTCTGTCAGTTAGGATGAAAGCGCAAGCTCGGCCCACACCAAACAAGATGCCTTGAGCTCTGGAGTGATGGAAGTATCAATGTTACTCTCCAACATAGCACACAATTGTCACGATGCGGATTTTCCACCCTCGGGAGTCGTGATGACGCCTACTATTAGGAGCTAGGCAAGCCAACTATTTATTATCTCTTTTAGCAAACCTCGACATTAAATAAAACAACGAAGCATTTAATATAACAGCGGAAGTCTTAAACATAAATAAACGAAAAACAATGCGGAAGTTCAATACAACTCTACCCAAGAACTGGAGTCACAAACTCACGAACGTCTAGAGAATGCTAAATACAAGGTCTGAATAAAAATATAATTATGTTTGTTCCGGTGCAAAGGATAACAAACTAAAGTAAAGATAGAAGAGACTCCGGGCCATGCGGACACCGGCAAGGCTACCTCGGGATCTCTGGACTGAAGTCAACTCCCAAATCTCCTATTGCTGTCAAAAAGCTGCTCCGGCACCGTGATCTGTGCAAAAAGATGCACAGAGTGTAGCATCAGTACAACCGACCCCATGTGCTGGTAAGTGCCTGGCCTAACCCCGGCGAAGTAGTGACGAGGCTAGACCGGACTGCCAAACAACCTGTGCAGTTCAATATATATGTGTGCAATATAAAGGTATACAGAAATTAACCAGTCAAGGGGGAGGGGGAGCATGCTGTAGGGGTTGTAGCAGTTCAGGTATAAAATCAATAATTGAGGAATGAAACAGTACAACTACAGTAGCAACGATAGTAGGAAATCAACAGTTGCACGGCACCATCCTTCGTGCTTTTACTCTCATTCTCACCCAAACAATCATATAAAGTGCATGGCATCACCCTTCGTGCTTTACCTCACAAAATGATGGCACGGAATGACCCTTCGTGCATAAACACTCATATCATGGCACAGAATGTTCCTTCGTGCATTAGTAATCAAATCAGGGCACAGAATGTTCCTTCGTGCATTAATAATCAAATCAGGGCACGGAATGTTCCTTCGTGCATCACTATTTATATCACAATCGTGCACGACATCACCCTTCGTGCTGTATCACTCGTCCTCACCCAAACAACAATCACAAACAATGGGGCAAGGGGATAGACAAACAGTAATAGAAGTCCCGGCAAGGGAAACACAAGTAAACAATTAAATCCCGGCAAGGGAACAACAATAATACCTTTCACATCCCGGCAAGGGAACAACAAGGATAACTTTCACATCCCGGCAAGGGAATAATCACAATTCTTTCTCTTTCTTTCTTTTCTTACTCAATAATTACTTTATCATTCGAGCCAACGCTCCAAGAGTTCACAAATCATAATTCTTTCTCATACTCTTCACATTACATAGAGTTCATCAATTACACGAGGAAGAGTCACAACAAAATAGGAATAAACACAGTATACGGACTCACGGTCATGCTAGACACCAGTGTATAGATACTCGTCACCATGCCTATACACCGTACTCAATCAATTAGCAATTAGCAAACAAGACTCAACACCTATTCCCTCAAACTAGGGTTAAACCAAACACTTACTTCAACTTCCACAGCTAAATCAATCCACAACGACCGCCTTCCCTCTCGAATTCGGCTCCAACTCAATCAAATCTATGAAATAACGACTTTACAACATTAATATAAGCTAAACAAATCAAACTCAATGCCTAAATGTAGTTTTCTAAGTCTTCTTCCCAAAATTTCAAAAATCGACCCCGGGCCCGCTTGGTCAAAACTCGAGGTTCGGACCAAAATCAAATCCCCCATTCACCCGCGAGCCCAAATATATAATTTGTTTCCAAATTTGACCCCAAAACGAGGTCTAAATCAAGAAAAATCAAAAAGACCTAACTCTACCCATTTCCCCCAATTTCTACCCTAAATTACATGTTTTAAGCCTAGAAATCTAATGGGTGTTAACAGAATTTGAAGATAATGAGTTAAAGATTACTTACCTAAGAGATTATGGTGAAAAAGCCCTTCAAAAATCGCCCCAAGAGATGTGGAGAAGAAGATGTTATGAAATTTTATGAAAATCCCGTATAGCTACTGTTCTGGACTTTTAAAAATAACTGGGCGGATTTGGCCTACGCGATCGCGGACAAAGGGATGCGATCGCATAGAGTAAATGAGGCGGAGCACTGCGATCGCGTACGATATCATGTGATCGCATAGAAGAAAAGGAAGGCTGGGGGGGGGGGGGGGGCTAACACATTGCGATTGCAGAGGAGACAATGCGGTCACGTAGAACAAAAATGGACCTCTCAAGTTTAGCTCTACGCGATCGCCGAAGGGAGTATGCGATCGCGTAGCACAAAAATAGAATCCCTGAAAATTACACTATGCGATCGCGGACTTATCTATGCGATCGCGTAGAACAAAATACCTGGACACCAGCAGACAGCTGATTCTGCAACTTTTCTTAAGGCTAAAACAACCCCGGAACACATCCGAATCATACCCGAGCCCTCGGGGCTCCTAACCAAACACATGAACTAACTCAACAACATCATACGAACTTATCCGTGCGATCAAATCGCCAAAATAACATCAAAATCAATGAATTAAACCTCAAAATCATCACTTTTTCATCAAACTTCATAAACTTTCATTTTTAGATATTTAGGTCCGAAACACGTCAAATGACGTCCGATTTCAACCAAATTTCACAGAAAGTGCTTAAACCACATATAAGACCTGTACCGTGCGCCGGAACCAAAATACGGGCCCGATACCAACACGTTCTAATCAATTTCCTTTTCAAATTTCCATATTAATTTCTGAAAAACAATTTCACAGAAAAATTCATTTCTCGGGCTTTAGACCTCGGAATTCAACTCCGGGCATATGCCCGAGTCTCATATTTTTCTACGGACCCTCCGGGACCGTCCAATCACGGGTCCGGGTCCGTTTACCCAAAATGTTGACCAAAGTCAACTTTATCATATTAATATCAAAATTCATCATTTTTCACACAGAATTCATACTTAAGCTTTTCGACTACGCGCCCGGACTGTGCAGGCAAATCGAGGCAAGCCTAAATGTGGTTTTCAAGGCCTCGGAGATACAGAATGAGTGAGAAAACAGGTGATGACCCTTTGGGTCGTCACATTCTCCACCTCTAAAACAGTCGTTCGTCCTCGAACGGACAAAAGAAAGAAGTACCTGAGTCGGGAAATAGATGAGGATAACGGCTCCGCATATCGGACTCGGACTCCCAGGTCGATGCCTCAGGGGGCTGACCCCTCCAATGAACTCGTACTGAAGGAAAACTCTTCGATCTCAACTGTCGAACCTACCGGTCTAAAATCGCCACCGGCTCCTCCTCATACGACAGATCCTTGTCCAACTGGACAGTGCTGAAATCTAACACGTGGGCTGGATCGCCGTGATGCCTCCGAAGCATGGACACATGAAAAACTGGATGCACGGCGGACAAGCTAGGCGGCAAGGCAAGCCTATAAGCCACCTCTCCCACACGGTCGAGAATCTCAAATGGGCCAATGAACCTAGGGCTAAGCTTGCCCTTCTTCCCAAATCTCATCACGCCCTTCATAGGCGACACTCGGAGCAATACTCGCTCACCAACCATGAAAGCTACATCTCAAACCTTACGATCTGCATAACTCTTTTGCCGCGACTGAGCCGAACGAAGCCTGTCCTGAATGATCTTGACCTTATCCAAGGCCTCCTGAACTAAATCTGTACCCAATAACCGAGCCTCTCCTGGCTCAAACCACCCAACCGGAGATCGACACCGCCTATCATACAACGCCTCACAAGGGGCCATCTGAATGCTGGACTGGTAGCTGTTGTTGTAGGCAAACTCCGCTAAAGGCAAGAACTGATCCCACGAACCTCCGAAGTCAATAACACAAGCTCGGAGCATGTCCTCCAATATCTGAATAGTCCGCTCGGACTGTCCGTCCATCTGAGGATGGAATACTGTGCTCAACTCAACCTGGGTGCCCAACTCTCGCTGAACTGCTCTCTAGAAGCGCGAGGTAAACTGCGTACCCCGATCCAAAATGATAGATACCGGCACCCCATGAAGGCGAACAATCTCTCTGATATAGATCTCAGCTAACCTCTCGGATGAATAAGTGATTGCAACAGGAACAAAATTCGCTGACTTGATCAGCCTATCAACAATGACCCAAATTGCATCAAACTTCTTCTGGGTCAACGGGAGTCCAGTAACAAAATCCATAGTAACCCTCTCCCACTTCCACTGGGGAAGCTCAATCCTCTAAAATAGTCCACCAGGCCTCTGGTGCTCGTACTTAACCTGCTGACAGTTCAAACATCGAGCCACATATGCAACAATATCCTTCTTCATCCTACGCCACCAATAATGCTGCCGCAAGTCCTGATACATCTTCGCGGCGCCCGGGTGAATAGAATAACGGGAACTATGGGCCTCCGCTAAGATCAACTCTCGAATCCCATCAACATTGGGCA